GGAGTTGGATTTCTAACCAGACACTTTATTCCAGGAGGGAGTAGTGAGCTCATGCTGGCCAAGCCCTTATTCCAAGTCTGGCCAATGCACTCATTCTGTATTTGGCCTGGGCCTTGGAGGATATGTAGAAGTCCATAAGGTAGACAGACAGGACAGTGTGAGTATGTGCAGACATAGGTGCTGAAGTACAGCAAGTCCAGGAAACTGAAGAGATGAGTGTGGCTGAAGGGAAGGAAGTGGCTGACCAGAGATGGGGCTGGAGAGGTTGTCAGGGCCAGGGGATACTGGCTTTGAATGCAGGTCAAGGAGATCGGGCTTCGTCCCAGGGGCAGTGTGGTGGTCACTGAAGAGCTCTCAGTAGGAAGGACACACTGAAGCAGAGATAAAACAATTCTTTTTTCTGGTCAGTCACAGAATTAGTGTTTATTGTCATGTTCTGGGTCTGGGCCTCCATGGAGCTTCTCCTGTGGTGACTCTACCAGAGAATTCAGCATATTCACACTCCCAAGTGTGCCCCCTGAGACCACAGCCACCCATGCCATCTTGATGCTGATACTCACTGTTGTCACCTTTTATACACTGAATTCTGCTTTTGATTTTATGTGAACACTTTCTTTATACACTTTTTTTTGGTCGTGTGTTACTGCTATTTTGTCTCCATACTTTTCCACAGTTAGTTTCTTCCTACTGATCCTAGAGCATCTAAGTTCTGTTCTTGACTTGGTGAAGATCTCATCTCGCCTCATAGGTGGTATAAAACAGAATTATTTTCTGACTGGAGTTTTCGCCAGTGTCCCTTCAGATCCTATGCATTCTTTCTCTTCAATTCAAGGCACGATGGTGAACAAAATGGACCCCTGAAGTCACCTGCCTATGTCTAAATTCTTACTCTGCAATTCACCTTCTAGTTATTTAACCTCCTTTATGTTACTTAATGTCTTGGTGACTCAGTTTCTTCAATGAAAATAACAGTAGTCTCTACCTCCTGGGTTCACTGTCATGATCAATGGATCACTATGCCTAAAGCTTGTCATAATGCCTGACAGGAGGAGCAGTCTTGCTCCTACTGAGGTCAGTGAGCTTCTTACTATAAGCCCAGGCCGGAAGGACAGCAGCCTCAGGCCCTCCGGCCCTCTGCCCTCTCTGTGCGTCAGCTCCACCTGCCTTCCCTGGGGGCCCTGCCTATTCCCTCCAGTTCTCACAGAGGCTCGGTCAGCCAGGACCCCAGGGAGCTAGAAAGGGTCACTGCAGGGACAGGAGAATAGGGCTTTCAATTCTGGAAACAGATCTTATCCAAATCTCAGTCTTGGGAATTAGGCTGGTAAGAAGAAACTTCCCAGCCCTGCACAGGCCCAGAGGGTGTCTTAGAAGCAGAGGCTGTAAACTCAGCCCTTTCACCTCTGACTCCTCGATACAGATGTGAGAGGCTAAAGCTGGCTCAGCAAACCCCAGGGACTAGTCATGGGAAACAACTTTAGTGAGGCAGGTGAAATGCAGCCTTTTTAGGTTTGTGTTTTTGCTCTGAGGTGTAGTGGAAAGGGCAGTTCTGTCACCAACTTTGGGGACCCCAGACAAGTCACCCTGTCCTTTAACTTATCTCCTCCCGGCCCATAGGAGTCACACAACTGCCTTAAACCCCTTCCTCCTGCAGGGCTAACCTGGACATGGTTTTATGGAGGGGGTGGTTGTAACACCCCTGTCCCCCAATCACATCTTGTCTTGGTGGTCCCATGAGAAGCAGCAATGACCATGTTGTCCTTAAGAGAAACCTGGGCACACCATACCTCAAGGACACTCCCTGGTCCTTTGACCTTCAGCTACACATTCTAGAACTGGCAAAGCCCCTTCCACATAGCCACACACAGGTCATTCTTGCCATCTCTCTGCTGAAAAGACACTGATGCCAGCCCAACTCGTCTCCTGGAACCTTGGCCTTCTGCGCCAAGCCAGTCCCTGGCCATTTGAGCATGTCCTTCAGGTCTGATTATGATCATAGCCTTGGGCTCTTTCTTACTTTTGAACCAAAGCTCAGACCTGATGGTTTTAATGTGAGAGCCTTGAATCTGTTTTCCCAGTCTATAATCACTTCTATAACACAGGAAACACTCCACAAACCTCTGCTTATTTTATTAATGTGCTCAGAATAAGGTCAGTGGCAGCAATTCTAGCAGCAATGCCAGCAGGGAGAAAGGGATGGATAGAGAGAGAGCCAAGAGTTAAGTCCTTTTAGAGATCAAGAGAGGAGTACCCCATGGCTGAGAAAGACCAAATTCACAGAACAAGAGCATTCCAGCAGCCCTCCACAGAATAGATGGCTGTCCCATCCTCTCCACATTGGCCTTCAGAAGAATGGAAATGTTCCTTTTTAGCCCTAGTGCAGGTCCAAAAGGAGTTTAAAATTCCTAGTTGCTGGGTGTGGGTTTCCCAGGATACCTTCTGGTGCCTGCAGCCTGGACCGTTCTCATGGCTGTCCCAGGCCTCTAGTTCAGGAGCCCAGTGTCTTCTAAGATGAATTTGGTTGCTCTCTCTGGGCTTTAGAAGAATGTCCTGCAGTGAGAAAGAAATAGACCAAATGGGTGCAGGCCTCATAGGTGCACACTAAGCCCATATCCGGGCCCTGGCATTGAGAAGCACTCATTGTGGCCGGCCTCCCTGTGCTGGCCCCCGCTGCCACACAATAGCCACGGCACACAGGAGGCCAGGGAGAAGGCAGAAGGTGACCAGGGCTGGGGAAGGAAGAGAAGCTGGACCCTCGCAAAGAACAGATGGCAGGTGACAGAAAACATAGGGCTACTTGGGCCATCTCAGAAGCCACAGCATAGCAGGCCAACTGTCTTGGGAACACAAGGCCCTAATGTTTTGAGAAACAGAAAAGTCAACTGGTCCAGGCTTATGTGTGCCATGGTGGGATGCAGACCCTGCCAAACACTGGTTTCAGGGTCACCTGCCGATTCCATCCACAGGCGCAGCCTGGCTACAAGTGGGAGCCATCTCTAGTCCACACCATAGGTTCCATGGTGTGTCCCTCAGATAGAGCCTGGATGCAAAGGAACAGGGGGCACACAGAACAGTCAGGTCTGAGTACGACTCAGGACACAACAAGTCACAACAGGACAAGAGCAACCATAACCTGCCATCCTTGGTTCTTTGGACCAGCTTTAAAAAGTCTTGAGTTGCCCTAGTTCTGTCCAAGTCTGTGAACCAGGGTCCCAACAGGTGATGTACATAAGGAAGGAAGCATATGTTGCTGAAGACACCTTCTGGGGGATTTTTCAGGCTTTGCTTCCTCTGGGCCCTCCCAGACCATTAGCTTTTGCTTTAGGCACTGTCTATACTTAGCACCGAGTGTGCTCAGTGCTCCACCCTGCTCACTCTGGTGCTGTGAGGGACCCGAGGCAGGTCCCAGGGCCTGTTGTGAGTCAGGACTCCCAAGTCCCAAGTAGGAGTTACAGACTGGGGTCAGCCCCACTGCTGGGAGTGGGAGCCCGAGTCCCATGACTTTAATTGTGGTCATTGATGGCACCTCTCAAACCCCTTCAGGTGCCAGTCCAAAGAACCTGCTGACAAAATTGGCAGCTGATGGCCACTGCACACAGCACAGACAGGAGGGGCCCTGCACCCCGCCTGCCTAGTCACCGTGGGGGGCTGCCGGGCTCCAGCTGCAAGAGGAGCCCATGTCTGTGCACAGGAGCACGGGTCTTCAGGGAGCTTTCAGACTGGCTAGGGGCTCTCGGCTGCAGAGAGGAAAGAGAAGAGCTACGTACGCAGAGCAGAGCAGGAAACACAAAACAGGGCTCAGCTGTTCCCGGGCAGAGCTCCACTGGACCTCTCCTGTCACCTGGCTATTGCACAGACCCTGGGTTGCAGAATTAGTAGCTAAATGGCATTTACTTCTTTAAAACACTAAAGGAACCCAGCCTCTGCCCAGTGGTGGAGCAGGCAGGAGGAACAGGCAAGCAGGGATATGCGAAAGTGTGAGTGTTGGAGAAGGTGGTGTGAAAAAGATGGAGACAAGATACTAAGAGGTACAAAGACAGACATGGACAGAGTGACAACCACAGAGAAGCAAGGACTCAGAGCCAGGAAATGAGAGAAACCGAATTATTAAAAAGAAAAGTGACGAGAAACCGAATTATTAAAAAGAAAAGGGAAGAAGGAAGAAAGAGAGAGAGAAACAGTTGGGAGAGAGACTGACAGGAAGGACATCAGGGAGAGAGGAGATGGAGGAGAGGGACAGGGACTGAGAACATTGGAGACTGAGAAATACAGATGAGAAGGAAGAGGAGAGAGGATATAAGGGACTCCTCCAGAGATAAGGAACTCTGATGGCCTAGTGGTAAAGAGTTGTGCTGCTAACTCAAAAGTAAGTGGTTTGAATCCAATAGCTGCTCCATGGGAGAAAGATGGGCACTCTCCTCCCATGTGAATTACTGCTTCTGAAAACCCGCTGGAGCATCAGCTAGGAAGGCCAGTTCCAAATGGACAGCATATAACGACAACTACAACTTACAGATACAAAGAGAATGAAAAATACAGAGACACAAAATGAAGACATAGAAAGAGATTAGGTCAAAGCTCCTTGGAAATCCTGGCCACCTAGAAATGTAGCATGAAAAAATACAGTTAGCTTCCAGGAAGACCGTGCAAAAAGAGGATGGACACAGATATTCTTAAACTGTTCGACAGTGTGGTGAACAAAGTTATGAGCAGGCAATCTTCAGTTTTCCTCCCAACTTCCTTTACTGGATGTGAGACCTGAGCTTCTCTGGGCCTCAATTTCCCAGATGTAAAGACTTTAGACAAGACAGCCTTGGATGCAGCTCTGGCCGTGCTTGAGGGCTGTGACTTAGTTTCTAGGAGTTCTCTAGGACAGGGGCTTTCTAGGAGGTATTACTTCTAGACGCAGTGTGCCTGGGCCACTCCTTCAGGCTTGAAGAAAGCAGGGTTGGGGTACAGGGAGGAAAAGAAAGAGGAGACAGGAGCTGGGGTCCAGCACACACTTACAGCTCATCGTCGTACTCCTTGGGAGGACAGACGGCAACAACAAGATCGATCCAGTCCTGTGGGGAGAAGCCATGTGCCCGTGAGGATGCACTGATGGTGGAATGGTGCATCCACCCTGCCACTCCATCCCCATTTTTGAACACCATGGTTCAAGGTCAGCTTGCTGGGCCCTTCTTTCCATGGTGGCTCAATGGTCTGTGGAAACTTCCAGTCTCTCAGGTACAGAACCATAGAGGGCAGGGACTCAAGACCCTCGAGTGACACTAAGTTCCCAAACGCTGATCAATCAGGGCCAGGGGGCAATCTTAGAATAACCTGAGGAAATTTCTTAAAACTGTAGGCTCATAAACCTGGTCTTTGGAAGTAGGAGGTGGGTCCTGGGAAGCATATTTTAACAGGCTCTTTTGATATTGGTATTTCCAGTGCAGAGCCAATTGAAGAACTTTTGGCCTACCTTTCTAACACTAACATTTTAATAGCCTCAGTGGCAGCATGGCCATCCATGGCTTATCCATCATTGTCCATCCTTGGTTTAAGTGTATCCAATGAAAAGTATCTGAAACATCACTGGACCTTTCTACCATGTCATGACTTCCAATATTAGGCTGAAATCTCTCCCCAGGACCTCTCCCCATCCATTCCAGCTCTGCTCTCGTGAGAATACTAATGTACCCTCTACCCTGATGCAGCCCTTCAGATAATCAAAGACAATCATCGTGTTACCCGTGAGTCTTCTCTTCTCCATATCCCATCATGTGGGTCCCAGTCCCATCCGATCAGCTTCCTCGGCACTGAACTTATTACCTCAGGCTCGGCTGCCTGCATACAGTTGTACAAGTTGTGCACTGCACAACATGAGGGGGGTACCCTTCACACTGTGGTCTATAGGAGGGTATCCCCCTCTGATTGTGCAGGGCACAGTGTAAAAGGACTTATGTGGTGGCCCTGACCTAACTGGGTATCTGAAAAAACTACCACTAGGCCCTCCTTCATCTGGGGCCTCTACTTCTGTTAATGCTTTCTAATATGCCATACACTCAACCCTGTTGAGCTTTGTCCAGTGTACACTTAGAGAAGAGATTTTTTTTCTTTTTCCTTGAGCGGGCTGCCATACTTTTAGAGTTTGTATTTCTGCAGTTAGCTTTTTACACCTAGGGTCAGAAATACAGTATGGGTTTGTTTTTGTGTTGTTTTTTTTTTTTCAATCTCACATTTTGTCCAATTTAGACCACTGGTTGGCTGGGGTATGTGGATGGCACACAACAGATGCCTGGACTCTGCATATGGCCCTGGGATGAGGCACCCTGACTGGAAGGCCAGAATCTGCAGCAGACAAAGAAGGGAGGGAAGGGGTCACTCTTACTCCCTGACTCCAGGCTTTCTGTAGGGCAGCCTCTGCCTCCGCCAGAGTGTAGTCAGTCACAATCTTGCCATTGATTGCCATGATCTCGTCCCCTTTTACAATGCCACCTGTAAGAATCAGATGATGCCGATTAGTTGACTGGGCTATACATCACATGTACAAGGCCCGGGGCTTGACCAGGGCACTTCAGGGTTGCAGAAGCCGCCTGAGCCCTGAGTTCTGAAAGCTCATGTTCAGAAAGCAGGAGCTGAAACAACCCACCGTGTTGCTCAAGGCCATTTCCTACCCACTTACACCCTCACCCAAGCTCATGTAGATTTGAGACACTGATGGGGAAGCATTGCCACAAGCTTTTGTCCCGGGCCTTTGTTGCTGGCTCTGATCAAAATCAAAAGGGGATAGTCCTTAATTGCAGCACGATTTTCCAAAACATGAGTTAGTTCTGCTAGTGAACACTCTCCACGCACCGGCCAGACTTGTCCACTGCAGCTTCCTGAGTTTCCAAGCTCTTTCCTGCCTCTGCTCTCTCTTCTCTTCTTTCAGGTCTCAAATAATATGTCTCCTCAGAGAGGGCTTTTCACTCTAAAATAGACCTTTCCTACTATTCTCTCACAGCATCCTGGCCTTTCTCTGGACAGCATTTCCCCACAATTTGTAATCAGTTATCTGTTTGCTTGTTCACAGTTGGGTTCTCCTGCCAGACCATAGGCTCCGGGAGGGCAGGGACTGTCTTTTAGGCTCACTGTTATATCCACAGCATTTAATGTAATACCTAGCACAAAACAAGAATACAATAGCTATTTGTCAAATAAATGAATTATGTCAAAAGATATCTTTAGCTAAGATGTCCTGTGGTTTAATTAATCTGAGAAATGTGGAATTAAAAGTTCATCACTGCAGGACTTGTCTGAGCCTTTAGAGTGTTAATAGAAATTGTGGTTATCCAAAAAATGAGTAGATTGTATATCACTTCACACACATCTTCTACTTCAGAACCCTTTTTTAAGGATTTTCTACCAGCAGCTGTGTCCACAGAACACATTCTGGTTGACAATGACATAGATCAATCAGAGGCTTTGTGGGCAGGAGCGTGAAGGCCCACAGGGGTTGTGGGGTGTGCAACTGAAGAGAGAAGCTGTGGTGGCTTAAAACACACATGCTCTGGGGAAATTTGTAGCAGCAGTTGCTTGCATGGTCAAGGCCACTGTCACTCATTCCCACTGAGTTGGAAACAATTCATAGCTGATCCTCCAATGGGTTTACAAGGCTGTAAATCACACCGGAGATTGTTCATCTTTCTTCCTTGGAGATGCTGGTGGATTTGAACTGATAGAGGTGTGGCCTTTTGGGTTAGTAGCACAACTCCCTTGTGTTCAAAGTAGTGAGGGACACAGACAGCCACTTTCTCTGGTCAGTGGGACTCTGGATGGGTCACTAGTGACTTTTACTTTTCTGTTTCATATAAATCCTTATAGTTTGAATTTATTTAAAGTGTATGCTGTTGTTGTTATGTACCATTGAGTCACCTGCAACTCATAGCTCTATCCTCAGCCAGTCTCACTGACTCCAACACACCTACCCCTACTATCCCAGTTCCTGCCTCAGTCCATTGCATCCAGGGTCTTCTCCTGCACTGTCCCTCCACCCTTCTGAGCATGATATCCTTCTCCAAGGACTGGCCCCATATGTCGAAGTAAGTGAGATGGAGCTCCAAAATCCTAGCCTCCAAGGAGAAACTTGGTTTCACCCTCACCAAGACAGACAGACAGACCCGTTTGTTTCTTAGCAGTCCATGGTATGTTCAATACTCTTCTCCAGCATCGCAACTCAAGATGTCGATTCTTCTTCTATCATTCTTAGTCATTGTATAGCAAGTAATTGTGAAGACCATCACACACCTTAGTCCCTCTCATTGTTCTTTAGACTTTTGAGAGGTCTCTGACAGCAGACTTCCCAATGCAATTCATCTTTTGCTTTTCTGACTGCTGGTGCCAATATGCTACCTCTTCCCTTTATTTTTTTTTTAAAGAATTTTAATAAAATTGAAGTCACATGAATTCAAGGTAGTGGCTCACATCTGAGGGGAAGATGGAGAGTGCAAATAGGCCTTGACTATGTCTGAAATGTTTTACATGGTAGGCTGGTGATGGGGATGTTTGTTACATCATTCTCAATGTTTTTCCAAGTCTGGAATAATTAAACATTTAAGCAATGTGGGGATAAGTTGTACCCCAGGGAGTGAAACTGAGTAGGATGTTCTTGGAAAGGCAGTCTTGTCAGCATCTGGTAGTTTGGCACCCCTGGAAGGCACAGTGGGATCTGGTACACCTGTGTGACTGCAGGCCAGGTCCCAGGGTCTGCCCTAGGGCACTACATGAGACTGGGCAGAGGATGGACCCGGGTGAGAGGGCTTTCCATGGTGGTCATCCAGGTTGCTAAAAGCAGGCATCTGTTTGCTCTACTGCAGAGCCTTGCGGAACCCCCCTGCCATCCCCAGACCAGCACCTGGCTGGCTGTACTCACCATGCCGCTCAGCAGCCCCCCCTTCGTAAACAGCCGAGACAACCACCTTCCCGATAGGGGAGTCCACGCCACCTTCCAAGGCCAGGTCCAAGGATCCCTCCTGGTGAGAAGAAAGCCAGCCTTGGGGTGCCAAGCAGACAACAGCCATGGGCACCTGAGCTGCAAGGAGCTTCTTAGCAGGGTCACAGAGAAGGCAGAGGAGCATGGGGCCTGCAGTACTGCCACCATAGGGGGAAATGGGACGTGTATGCCCAGTGGGACCTAGGTGTGTGGTTCCCCCATGGGTGGGTGAAGGTGGTGAGGATTTGAGGGACCACCTTAAGAGTAGAAAAAGGAAGAAACCGAAGCCAGAAGGGACGACAAAGAAGGATGGGGCCTCTCCAACCTTCTTTATGCGCAGGAGTCGGACATCCTTCCCAATGATCTGTTCTGGGGTGAACTAGAAAGAAAAAAGGGAGATTTGAGTTCATCTAGAAAGGAGGTGGGAGGGCATGGAAGTGTAAGCCAGGCACTCGGGGACTCTGGGCCTCCAGAATACTCGGGATAAGGGCACTTTTGCCAGCTCTGCCCCATTGATCTTCAATTAGGGGGTCCCAGGCCTCTTGAGGGACACACAGCTCCACACACAGCCCCTTGAGGGCCACAGACCACACATATCACAACTCTCTCCTCTACTAACCATGTGATCTTAAGAAAATGAAGAAATTAACCTTTCTGTACCTCAGTATCACCATGAATGAAACGGAAATGCAGTTTCTTCATGGGTTTATTGTGAGGACGGGGTGAGAGATATGCTTTGTAACTAGTTACTTGTGTATGGATAGCAAGTGTAAGTGCACACACATTCACACACACACACACACACACACACACACACACACACACGTGCACGAAAGAAGCAGCCACATGAAAGAGTGGTTTGGGACATTCCTGGGCTCCTTATCCCATCACCCCATCTCTGGGTCTTGGGGCCCAGAACACATTCTGACAGACTGTACCCATCAGATCTTGGGTAACTGCCCTGGGGGAGGGAGTTGTCTCTTACCATCGAGTAGGGGTCAAAGCCTTCCTCATATTTCCGGAAGTCCTGGAAGCAAAAGGAGAACTTCAGGATCTACTAGCAGAGGTGGGGTAGGAAGCAGGCTCAGGGAAGCAGAACAAGAGGGGGAATGGGTCAGGACCGTGGGTCAGAGATAGGGAGTTGGCAGGGGAGATCCAGGCATAGCCTAGTTGAGGGATGCAGAAAGGAGCTGGCAACCACAACAGCCAGAGCAACCCTGCCCAGGAGAACTGGGAAGCTACAGGGAAATGTTGAAGGTCCTGGGCTGGGGTCTGGCACTGTGGCAATCTCTGCCATGCGACCCCGACTGTGTAGTTGGTGTGGGCAGGTAGTGCCTGCCTTCTGCAAACTTCATCTCCCCCCAGTTCTCCTAAGTTCTCTTACACCCCTCTTCATTTCTCCCAAGGGGCCAAGTGAGGTCAGGGCTAGGCCTCAGCTTCTCTAATGCTTCTCCTCATCTTTCTCTGACTAGTGAGAAAGAACCAACACTATTCTATGCGCCATGCACCCTCCCAGCCCAGGAGTCACACACAATGAGCAGGAGGCAGGGGAGGCCACACAGCTGGAGGTACCAGGAGTCCCAGGCCTGAGGGAGCAAAGCCTTTGCTCCTCTCCACAGGAAGGAGGAGTGAGAGAGAAGCCCACGGCAGGTGCTCTCCCAGACCTTGCAGGACCAAGGGGACTTGTGTACACAAACTTCCTTTGGCTGTGGCAAACACTGTGCAGTGTGCCCTGGGCCTGTGGTCAGCACTATGGGGACGCCATAGTTCCCTTAATACCCAGCACATCTTGTGATTCCTGGTCACAAGATGAGAGCCCAACATCACAGATGAATCTTTGGGCAACCCCAGGCCATCATCCTCGCTGGCCTCCATCCCAGGCTCAATCCCAAAGAAGTCTTGAGTCTGGTCCATGATTGAGGTTATAGACCAACCCATGTTGGTCTATAGGAGTAAAGACAGCAGATAGAGAATGGGTGGCAGATATCCACGTGTACAGGGGTCATGAGACAGCAGATGGGCTATTAATTCTTGGTTCCTCTTTCATTGAGAAGAACTCTGTCTGCTCTGGCCTGTTTCTTTGAAAAAAATGGAAGTAAAGTCCAATTTTTCTCCTCAGTTTTTTCTAACCCTAAAGAAAAGACCAACACCTGCAGGGATGGGCCAGATGACAGATATTTAGACCTTGTTGTAAATTAGATCTCATCCACCATTAGTCATTAGATCTTTCTTTCAAAAGCCATTATAATTGGGTTGGCCCTTAAAGAGAGAGCCCAACCTCTCATTCAACAGATGGAGAAATAAGACCCAAGAAGCCACATTCATGCTCAAGACTTAAAGGGCTTGATTCCCAACTGGCGGCCTTGAGCCCCTCATCATCCTGCCTCTCTTCTTTTGTGGCTCACTTGTGCCCTAAACCAGGTCCTTAAAAGCTTACTTGCAATTGTGGTGCATTGAGAGGGCCAAGTGCTACAGGGCCTGACCTGGCCAGAGCCAAATCCAGGAGCTCGTAATAGCTGTGTCATCATGAGTCAAGTCCCTAATGTCTCAGCTTCAGTTTCTTGCCTATAAAATGCAGATGATGCCAACGGTGACCTCCTAGGGTTTTAGTAAAGAGTGAATGAGCGATTATACCAGAAGTCTTTAGGAACTGAACTTGGCACAGCACACCTTCAAAGTGTTCGTTGTCGCTCTCCTGTCACTCTCCAGACCTGGCCTGGGAGCAGCTGTTTTTTGCAGACACTCCTGTGTCCCTACACAGGTGACATCTCCTTTTAGCTCCTTGCCTGCTCTGATCATGGGTTATCAGGAAAGAAGCTGGAGATGCAGGGCTGCCTGCCCAGGACGTCTTTCTCTCTCAGACTTGGGGGTCTCTTCCATTAGTCCATGGCTCTCTACACATAAGCCCCAGGAGGCAGAGAGGATTTGTAGTTGACAGTCTGTCAGATGCCACTGAGAGAGACCACAAGGACTTCTGGCAGATGGAAGACCTGGTCCCTACTAATCTGCTAGTTAGGTGGGTTTGGGTGAAGCTATGATCTATTTTGAGTCCACAAATAGAGAAAATGCAGGGAACCTCTTTTCTCCTAGGGCTGAGACAAAGTTTCACCTTGATCTCATAACTCCTCTGAGGGATCATTCCACCCTGTTCCTCTTTGAGTAAGTAATGAGCTTCCATTGCTAAGAGTCCCTTCTGCTATGAAACTTTGCCCTGCCCTCTGGCAATGAAGAAGCCATTCTGGTTTAAGGCTCCCAGCAGAGGGCGCTCTGGGCCACTACAGAATCTTCACAGCGGAGGAGTCAGGCACAAAGGGGAGGAACCAGGCAGGAAGGAAAACACACACAATGGGTGTCATTTTACTTGTCTGAATGCCGTCTGATAAACCACCATCCTCTTCAACATTTCCTGCGGCTGACAGAAGAAAGGAAAAGAAAAAGAAAAGAAAGAGTTCTATACCACATATTATCAACTGGTCTCTTCTGCCCTCTGGTGCCCAACTCTGGGTTACCAGCCTGGGCTGCCCTGTCCATCCCTCTCTAAAACACACACACAGCCTGGCCAACGTCAAGGGACAGCTCCATAGCCCTGGATGCAGCAGCTACCCAGTTCTGTTCCTGCAGACACGGGCTCGTCATTAGCCAGAGAATGGAACGTGCATCGCATCAGCAACTTGTCTCAGGAGCATGAACTTTGCTCTTTGGGGAGCTGAGAGGGAAGCTCTAGCTTTAGCCCAGAATAAATGTCTGAGCTGTTGTGCCCTGACATTTGGATAGGATTTCCTTGAGGAGGAAATAAAAATCCTGTCAGGGCTCACTGCCCGCCGTGGGTGAGGGAGTCAGTCAGTGGGCAGGCATCCCCAGGAAAAGGACACACAGGTCTCAGCTCGCTCAGCTGTCTGTCACTGAGGCTGGGCAGACCCTTCCCCAGGGCCACACCCTGGACTCTGAGCCTCATCAAAGGGGAGCAGGGAAATGGAGCCAGGAAGGGGTCTGCTGTGCCGTTCCTCATCGGAGGCTGCTCACACACCCAGCCCATGACAGAGACTAAGCCAACTGGAATTTCTGCAGGTTGGTAAGATGGCAAGTCGGGTGATTAGCTTGTACTTTGTAATTTGAAAGGCTTGGAAGTAAGTCCTGGCTCTTCCTTAGATAACTGACTTAATCTCTCAAGGCCTTCGTTTCCTCACATATTAAATTTTTGCCACTGTTAGTCCTGACTCCTGGTGACCCCAAGTGTTAGAACAGAATTACTCCATAGAGTTTTATTGGCTGTCATCTTAATGGAAGTGGATCACCAGGTCTTTCCTTCCATGGCACACCACTAGACGGATTTGAATTGCCAACTTTTAACAGGCAAGCACAACCTTTTTAAGACATCTTAAGGAAAAAAAAAACCCCACAACAAAACAAGTCAAGTTGATTCTGATTAACTGAGATCCTATAGGACCTACTCTCAAATTGACAGGACAGCCAAAGCCTGTGGTCAGAAACAGGGTTTCCACTGGTAATATCCATGTAGACTCATCTCTTGGTCAATGGAACGTTAGGAGATTCTGATGTCAGTTTGTGACCCACCTCACTTTCCCTCTAGAGGGAGCCCTTGTTTGCTCTTCCAGAGACACCCTGGAGGAGGGGTCTCAGCGGCTTACCAGGACCTCGGATTTCACAGCGGGCCTGTAGATGAAGTTGGCTTCCTGATGGACCATGACAGGCTTGGAGATGGTGGACACTCCAGGGCCTCGTGGGGGCTGTGGGCTTGGGCAAAATGTCTACAGGGGTTAGTTTAAGAGAGCCCCATGTGAGGTCATGGTGGGGATGGCCCAGGTCAGCTATGGCACTTCTACAGACATGCATATTCACACCCATGCACATGCTGAACCAGCTGGTTCATTCTCTTTACTGATCATGGGAGGTATGATTTTTGGCAAAAAGACAAGAAATCCACTGGTCATAGTGTGATATGAAGGCACAGAAACTAAGTGATTCTAAGAATCATGGGCCTGGGCCAGAACTCATCTGGGGGAGTATTAGTAGCTACTGTCATTCAGGATACTCTTGAGAAGTTCTTTCTATGTGGCCATGGGCGCCATCTCTTATGGTTTCAGGCTCTAGACTATACCAAACATATACTGTCCCTGGTGGTGGGTTACATAGTCTCTAGAAGCTGTAGGCGGAGGACCAGTAAGAGTGGCACCCATGAGAGCTGAGCAAACCACGTGCTTTATAACCCACTCGATCACCTCCTTGCTGCTCTTGCCTTGTCATCCTTATGTTCTTTCACCTGTGATGCCCTTTAAAAAGTAAGATAAAATTCCTCCATGTCTCACCTTCCCTGCCTGAGCTTATACACCCTCTACTGTACAAAGATGTCTCCAGCTTCTAATTAGAAACGAATCTCCCACAGCCAGTGCCCACTTTCTAGCTAAATTTTTCCAGCTCTGCTGCTCATTCTTCAGCTGGCAAGTCACTGGGCCCACAGGCATGTCACTCTGCTCTGAGTCCTTGTCCACACTGCCCTTATCCCCGCCTCTCACCAAGAGGCACAAGGCAGGTGGTCTGTCAGTGGCTGCAGCACTGAATTTGTCCAGGGAAAGCTGCCCATCTCCGTGGAGGCCTAGCACAGGGTGTAGCTCTCTGTACCAGCCTAACTCAGCCTTCTACAAACTGGCTCTTGGCTGGACTTTGGTGGGGGAGCATTGCTGGTGCAGGCAGAGCTGCAGGCACAGGGCACCATCAGAGTCTCCCCACTGCGAGACTCTACCTATCCTGCATTTGATGCCCTCTTGACTCACATAGTCCTTCTCCCAGGTTCCTCTGAATTCTCTTAGACACCTTATTCTTCTCTTCCTGCAAGAACACCAAACCATGCAGGAAGGGACAGAAAACTACAGGCCAGATGCTCTTGACTCTGCTCCCCAAAGGCCCCACCTTCAGCTGCTTTGGCTCTGACTCAAGCCTGGTCCCATTGCAACGGCAAACAGAGGAAGTTTTTTCATCCCCCCCCTGCCCCCCTTTGAGATCAAAGCTTCATGCCTTCCCTGGAGAATTGTCTCTTCCCAATATAATCATTGGATTAAAACTAATTAATAAGAAATTTATTATTGAGAAAGAGTACTGCTGCCCATTCCCTGGCATTCAAGAAAAATCACTCTACTCTTTTAATAGTACATCTGGACACTTCTTGGGACTCTCTCCTTGTAATCTTTTCTGTAGCTGGAGCGTGGTCAGAACTTTCTGGGTAAGGGTCCTGAACATTCAAATCAGGGACAAGCTGTACTTCCCTTTTGATGTTACATAAATTTGCCCTGACTTTGAAAAACCAGAACTAGCTCCTATTCACAAATACTTTTTCATCACGATCATATTACTTGCTGTATATGTAGCTTTAAAATAACTTTAAAAACATTGAACTAACATTATTTTTAACTAACTTACTCACTGCCTTCGAAATGGCTCTGACTCATGGGAGTCTCCGTGAGGCTTTTGAGACTGTGACTGGCAGGTAAGCAAGACTGCTCATCCTCTGTCTCAGAGCAGCTGTGGGTCTGAACTGCTAGGACAACCTCTTGGTTGCAACTTCCTACAGCCTAGCCCATCAGAACTCCCTTTCTTGAACTGAAGTAAGGCTAAATAAGAACTGCATGCATCTGTTCCAACTCATCTACAAATGAAACTTACAGATCTCATTCATAACCTGGGGACTCCCATTTTAAGCCAATGGAGCTAGCTGGCTGGAGCCACTGAAAAGGGCACTGCAATGTTCCAATACAGCCTTTGACAGTATTATTATTTATTTACAAGCTTCATACCTTTCTCCTGCTTTTTCCTCCCTTTCTGTTAAACCATGACATCATACCCTATAGCCAGAGCTTTCTGGGCTAATACCAAGAAATGACTGGCTGTGACAAAGAGCTCTGACTATTCATTAATATAACCTTGGCAGTGTTATGTCAAACATTAGCAGCCCTTACCAGCTCAGAGAAGCAGAAAAAAAAAAAGCAATAAACAGTGGAAGAATATGATGTTATTCATCTCAAGGATCACACACAGGTAATTTACCATACAACACAGCACTTCAAAATCGGGAGAAACTGTACACGTGCATGACATCTACAGCATGCATGTTGGGGGACCCATTCTAGACAATGGGGTGAGGTTTCCTCTGGATTCCACTTGCAGAGCAGTGAAGAAGGTGGAAACAGGAACCCTTCCCCCAGTTGTGTGTCCAAGCAGAGCATGCAGGCAGGGCTGGTACCTTTGGGGTGGGCGGGAAGCTCCGCTCAGGGATGGGAGAGTTGGTAGGTTTCCCACCATGGTTCTTTGCCTCCCAGTCCTCTGTGGGATTGCTTGTGTCCCCAACACGGAAGGAGTGGTTGCCCAGTGCCTCTTCCAGGGCCGAGGGCAGTGGGCGGGTGGGAGTGAGGTCTTGGGTGGGAATGGATGGTGGGGGAGGGATAGGAATGGGGGGTGGAGTGCGTTGCACCCAGGGTGAGGATGAGGCACTCACTCGGCCTGATGCGGGAAGGACAGGGGGTGCAGGGACCTTGGTGGGTGTGTTGGAGGGTGGAGGGAGGGGCATCACAGGTAAGGCAGAGGGAGGCTTGGGGGGGTAGTAGAACATGTCCAAGGGGATGTCGTCCAGATCAGTGGTGTGGAGGTGCAGCCCACCTGCGAAGCGTCTCAGGGGTGGGACGAGTGGTGACATGGAAGGTGGAGGTGGTGGGGGCCCTGTGGTCATCTGAAGAGTGTAAGGAGTTAGGTAACTGTCCAAGCTAAAGGTCATTCACTTCACAGCACACTTGTCTAACTTGACTCTGGGTTTCTCTGGCTGCTAAGGGCCTACCACCCTCGGACCAGAACTGTGGGGATGCCACTTCTGTCACCTGAGGGCACAGAGAAGCCAGCACCAGGCAGTGACTAGGGCGTGCTCAAATGCAGAAGGGTCCCCAGTTATGTTGACCATGGATGTTAAGAAAAGCAAATGTATAGCTTATCATCTAAACTGGTCATGCCCGACAGAGAAAAGGCTGCTCTTTATAACTGTCAGCATGAAGGCTTAACTGGGACTGCCTCAGATGAACTATAGGTTACATCCACTCCGGAGATAAGCTCAGAAATACATGGCGCTCCTTCCAAGAGCAGAGGGGGATATGGCATGGTAGGGGTGGGCTTTGGGTAGTGGTCCGGGCACTGGGTTTGGTGGGAGAATCTTCCAGGGCCCATTTTTCCTCCTGTTGCCCTCACAGCGGGTCATTCTGAGGGCAGCAGGAGGGTGGATGTGGAAAGACGGGGTCTGTTACCTCTGGAATCTCATTATCAGCAGAGGAAATCTGCTCAAGGCGCGTCTGACAGAGCCTTTCCACCCAATACTGAATCTTTTCCGATTCCTCAAGGTCTTCCCGTTCTGTCTCCGATACCTGGGACCCCAGACCGGCAGAGGGAAGAGGACAAGGGTACACTGCAATCACACGTGGGTGGCAATGGGACAGAAACCATTTCGTTCAAAACCACTATGATACTGTGAGGCATGTCAACTCTGAAAAAACCTAGGCTTGTTGCATCTGGCCCCAGAGGAGGCAGACACGGGTGGAGGGGATGGTGGCAGACAGACTTAATGGCATCTGTAGGCAGAGTCAGAGAGGTTCATGTATTTCACAGGATTAGCGGCCCCCAAGTCCCCACCAACCCTGACATTCCAACAAAGGCCCCTTTATAGATTCCCTGCACATTCCAGAAGTTTAACCTCACTCTTTGATTCCCGCCTCTAGGCTGCCTTGTCCTCAGAAACACAAGCTCAATTTTTATCTTTAATTTTGAAACTAATTTGTTCCTAACGCCAGACCTAATCAACATCACATTTCCCAGGACTTCACCAGCTTCGTAATCTAATCAGCTTGGCATTCAGATTCATGGAAACATAAGAGGGAAGCAGACACAATAATATCTCCCACAGCTTGAGAGTTAAGGCCCCGCAACCCACCTAGCACATAGAATAAGAAGTCAGTGCTACAGGACTGGTTTTGACCTGTCTTGAGCGGGAGCAGCCTTAGAAATATTCCCAGGCTGACGAGGTCTCACCTTGGGTATACACTACATTGAGAGGAATAACCTTCAGTCTATTGCCCTGAGGAGGTGGGATTGTGTCAGACCAGCTGCATGAAAGGATTAGCCCCAGATGCTCAGAGTCAAGCTAGGAGGAGGATCCCTGGCCTGGGACTCAGACTCTAGCCAGGAGGTCACACTGACTCAGACTTATTGACGGTAGGTGGAAGGCTAACAGTAGACCTACAGACTTAGCTTCAGGCCCACTCATATCATGAGCAGGGAACCTGGCCTTGGAACCAACCCAACATGTGAGACCCGGCCTTTGGACTCACAGGGTTTGAGGAAACAGCCACAAACTGTTAACCAGGTAGATAGGAGGGGATAACACAGTCTGGGTAGAGGCTGGCCTCAAGCCCATACTCTGAGCAAGGAGGTGAATTTCAATTCCAAACATACACCCTAAGGAAAGGGGTGAGTCTCAGATGATCCCGGGAGGCAGGATGGTCTCATTTTCCACACTGGGGTTGTGGTGGGGTGAGGAAACAGGGCTTACCCCAGCCTTGAACTTCATCCTGGGAAAACAACCTTAGCTGGTGCCCTGGGCCTGTGGCAGAAATTCCTAGCCTGTGCCTGAGGATGCTTGTCTGGCCAAGCATGGGGCACATACCTCTTGGGCCAGACGGTTGATCTTTAGCTGCTTTTCCTTTTCCAGCATCTCCTCTTTCTCTTTGTAAAGCTTTTGCTCAAACTCCAGTTCTTTCTTATTCTTTCTCAACTCCTGCAGGCTGTCATACTTGGCTTTCTTCTTATCTTTTCCTCTCTGAGTAGATATGGCATTGTTTATATGACAAGGGTTACACAGTAGTGTTGACATTGGAACAGCACAGCACACAGGACATTCAGTTCTCAGCACTGGGCAGCCACTCCACCATGCGCCTCTGTCCCAGCTCTGCCCACGCCACTGGGCATCTGCCCTCAGGTGTAGACAGATAGGCTGCTGCTGCCCACTGTAGGGTGTCAATTAGAAAACCATCTTACTGCTTCCAAACTTAGTCAGTTGGATGGCCTTGGCTAAGTGCCTTAACCTCTCTGGGCCTGTTCACCTCATTTCAGGAAAGTATCTTCCTGAAAAGACTTGCTACTTAGAACATACGAAATAACATGTGAAAGAGCTTTGTAATTTGCAAAGTGCTGTGCATCATACAATGTTACATGTTTCCTAGTATATAGGCAAATGCTTGCGCTATCAGCTGGGGAAAGAGATGTGTCTGGGGATATTCCTGGTGAGTCAGGCAGGATAAGTCTCCCCTGCAGAGATCCTCTATCCTGAGCTACACTGTGGAAGCCAGCCTCACATCTGGGAGCCCAGAGCTAAGGACACTAGACTTTTACCACCAAAGCTTAAGCTTCAGTTCATTTTATCCCGAGATGTCTAAGCACCACTCCCTTTGAATGGAGCACCTGAATTAAGAATTAGTCCAAAACTACAGGACTGGGGTCTGAGCAGAGAGAGGACAATAGTCTTGTTGCTTCCACAGGTTTTCAAAGTTCTAGAGGACTAGAGGAGGGAGATAAATGCCAAGAAAAAGCTGCTTATGATTTCCAGGATGCTTCTTCCAATGAGTTGTAGGAATGCCACTGGGTGAGAAGGAGAAAGAATGGAGAATTGATAGGCTGTCTAAGGGCCATGGGATCTATACTGATTATCCCTTAGGTAGGTGCGATTATCCCCATTCTCTTGATGAGGAAGCAGAGGCTCAGAGAGGTGAAGTCACTGGCCTGCAGAAGATAGTTATTAAGCAGTGCCAGGCTTTAGACCTGAGTCCATCAGGTCTCACACTTTTTCTATTGCATCTTGATAATGAAGTGGCAAGCTGGAGGAAGTGGGGAGCATGGCAGTGGGTGTCAGCCCCATCACTAGCATGGTAAACAGCACTCAGGAGAAATGATAACAGAATCAACATGAAGATCTAGATGAAGGAGGAAACCAACCCTCATCCCCAACAAGCCTTCATGGAGTGCTCTCACATGTCTGGAACCTTTCAGCATTCAAGGTCTGGAATGAGAAACTGACTTCCCTAGCAACAGACATGCAGATTTCCTCTGACACACTGTGTCTCCCTTCCTAACTATACCCTTATTAGTTGTGGCCACTTCTGGGACTTACCCCAAGAACAATCTATGAACCACTGGAGAACACAATTCTCATTGCTTCAGACTCCTGCCTAGTTCCTTATCTACCCTGTTCACCTGAGCCTTGGCTTAGTTGATAGATGAATACCCACCACTGCATTATAGGTTCAGACAACAATGTCCCAAGAGGAGCTAGGAACATTATCCCCAATGACAGCCTGTTAGAATAAGAGGATGGCCTCCCGCAGGGACCATCATGAGCACAACGGTCATTATGTTGGTTTAGAAGAACATCAGTGCTAACATTTTGGATCTGGGATTCCTGTGCTCTAACCTTAAGAAAGTAGCATCTGCTTACAGGTGCAAAAGGACGCATGGCCTCACAGCATTGTGGACAGATCTCATACAAGCTCTCCAGTGAGGCTAGTTAGTTGTGTGTGAATCTGCCTCTCCCATCAGACTGTGAACTTAGAGTAATTTACTCAAGCCATCTTGGTAGAAGGCCTTAGTAAGAACTAGGATCTTTTAAACCCAAGATTTTTGGTGCTACAGGTCTGTGGGTTATGAGCCTCAGAAGGACTTACTGGCAGCATAGGAACAGAAACCATTTCATGTTCATCTTCTCAAATAAAGGGGATGCATTGATGACCGTGGGTAGGACACTCACTTATATCACCTGGGACCCAGTGTTTCTGCTGCTGGAGACAAAGATTAGATCCACTCTGTCTCTCATAGCTCTAGAGAAAATGATGATGGATTTTTCAGAGCCACATGAAGGACATGCATCTGCTGTACTTTAAGCTGCCAGTTAAAGTCACTGCAATCACTCTTTTTGGTCCAGACTAAGCAGAGAGGCAGATGGGGTGGCTGTTCTCTCACTTCCACCAAAAGTAATTGTTCTCTCTTTTGGAAAGAAAACGAAAAAACAAAATGCCAGCTGTTTCTTGGATGACTGAATTAACACATGGGGGAAACTAGCCCTGCCATCTCAACAATTTCAAGTGATATGATTTCCAATGAACTGAGGGAGAAGAGAGCCTAGTTTCTTTATATTTGCATAGTCACTAGTACCTGGAAAGTTTGCCTAGTGTCTCCTTTAAAAAAATTAACATAAAATTCTGTACGTGTTTTTCCTCTAATTGAATTCTAGCAGTAGAGGCAATATATAGAGGAAAATGTAAAAAATCGTGCTCTGTGAGACACCCTAAGCCACATGACGTCATAGCTGTCAGCTGTTGTCTAAATAACCCCTAACTCATGGTGACCTCGTGTAAATAGAACAATCAGTGCTTTTAGACCATCTCGACGACTGTTTGCAGATTGGACTTTGGTGGTCAATAGGATTGTCACGGGCTTATTTTCAGAAAGTAGATGGCCAGGCCTTTCTTCCTAGTCTGTTTTACTCTGAAGGCTTTGCTGAAACCTGCTCAGCTTCACAGCAACACGTGGATAGACGCATCATAGTGAGCCTTCATGGACAGAAGTGTGGGGGCTGCCTAGGGTGCTGCTGACTGGGAATCGAGCCCAGGCCTCCCGCAAGGAAGGGGAGAATTCTACCAGGGTCCCCCAGTGCCGAATCTAAGTCACATGGTGAGAATGGGAAATGTAAAAGGCAGTGTTAGAGATGGAGTCTTTCCTGAAACCAAGCCAGCGTGGGAAGGAATCCTCAGAAGTGCCATGGTCTAGTTTATTCAGTGTCGTACAAATGGTGATCTGTGCTCCTAGGTAAAGATATCTATAGTTGGTGGTGGTGGTGCGTACTGTCGATCTGAACTGACCCACAGATGACCCTCCAGTGGGTTTTCAGAAGTAGTACTCACATAGGAGGAGATTGTTCACCCTTCTCCCACCCACTGAACAGCTGGTGGATTAGAACTGCATGCCTTTGAGATTGCAGCACAGATTCTTATCACCAGGCCACCAGAGCTCCCTAACAATATCTGTTAGGAACCATTATTACATTAACAACAATGTACTGAAGGAAAGGGTTGGACCTTCCCAGTATTAGATATTCCCATTTCACAGGCAGGAAGCAGTCACATATCATCAAGGTCATCCAGCTGTCAGTGCTGTGTTTCTGGGGAAGTGAGTTCTTGCCAGAAAAAGCCAGTTAAGTGATGACACCTAAATGAGCTCAGCCAGATTTACACTGATGCCTCATTTATAAATACCACGTCGTCTCAAATGGCCAAGCCATAGATTAACTGCAGTGTTTTCATAATCAAATGCCAGAGTGACTTAAAAGTCAAGAGGGTTTATGGGGCTTGGAGATACTACAGTAGGATTTAGCAGCAATAAAAGGGTGGAGGCTGGAGAAATGTACCACCCTGGGCTCATGCAGAGAGTTCTAAGACCAAGAGGGGGCTGGTCTGGCTCTCTTTGTATTAATTTGAGCAGCAGATCCTTTGCCCCAGAAACAGGCTGCATCTGGTATAGTCAGTCTTAAAAGTACACACTGTGAGTGAGCTCTAGTGGCCTAGTGGCAAGAAGCTGCACTGTAATCCTAAAAGTGCATGGTTCAAATCCACCAGATGCTTCACTGGAGAAGGAGGGGCAATCTCATCCTATGCCAGTTGGATCTGATTCGATGGTAAAAAAAAAACAAACAAATGAAAAAACCCACCAAAAACCTTACCCTGTGTATAGCCCTTACCCATGACAGCTCCTGGTCTGGTCCAGCCTTTGGGCCTCAGTAGACAAAACTGAATCTTCTTGCCACACTGGCCCCTGCTCTTTGCCCACGGGGCTGTACTGACACATGGTAGTGCCTGCTGTTATTTGAGGAGGCCTCACACCAAAATGCGTTGTCCCAGTGTGGGTCACAATACTCTGTGATTTTGCGTGCACCCAACAGAGAGGCATAGACAGGGACAGCCCTTCAGATAAACAGACTAGATCACACTGTTGATAGGATGGACAAACACTGTTTGGTAAGGTCAAAAGCCACAGCAAACTCAGCAGCAAACCAGCACGGCACTCAGACCTGCCCTACCTTTCTGATGGTCGGGAATTTGCCATCGTAACGATAAAACCATCCAAAGGCTAGAAGAACACAGAGAACAGTGATAAGGCCGGCTGAGCTCAGCCAGAGCATCCACGGGCTGCAGGCAGAAGTCGAGTTCCCAAGGAATGTGTGGCTTCATGAGAGGAAGAGCAGATCAAACAGCAAAGCTGCCCCCTCTGTCCCACACTCTACTTACCTCGTAGGCTGCAGAACATGCTCAAGACCACCTGAGAGAGGCCCCAATTCCCTGGTCCCGAGCCCTCTCACCTGCCTCTGCTTGGGATACTGGCTTTAGAAGTCAGTGCCAGAAAAATCTAAGAGAAAGCCCCCTTCTACAAGTCTTTCCAAACCAGTCTCCAAGCACAAAGCCCAATTGAAAGAAAATGAGGCCTCTCCTAACCGATGTCGGGTCCCACAGTCCAAGAACTGACTCGAGACAAAAGAGAGCCTGGGTCAATGCCTAGAACTGCTGTCAGACAGAACAAAAGTGTCTTGTCTCATGGCACAGGCCAGGCCCTCTGCTCACAACACTGAATGAGAAGGTGAAGGCCGGGGGGCAGCTCTGGAAAGGACAGTCCAGGCAGGAGTGGGCAGGGGAAATGCTCCCTAAAAAGCATATCTCCACCCAGGTCAAGATCTCCAGGGTGCAAGCCCTGCTTCCTTCTCGCAGCATGAAGGAGCAATATTCCAAACCTGTACCTTCCTGGGGCCAGGAGTGATGGCTTGAAATAATAACCTACTCTTGACCAGCCTGAGGGGAGGACTAGATTTAGAAGGCCCTCTACTGTCCTGGGAACTAGTTCATAAGTTGCTGGAGGACTACGGAGTCCTGGGGGAGAGGCCAGAGCAGCTCAGAAGGGGCTTGGGTTCGGGCAGAGTTGAGACAGAGGCAGCAGTTCAAATAAACAGAGGCTGACTTAGCAGGTTGGACAGAAGTCCTGCCCCAAGCGGGTGAGCTCCACAGACCCTTCAGCTTGCTCGGCATCTGCACTGCTGTCAGGAGGAGGCAGGCAAGAAAAGCAGAGCAGCAAAGCCAGGGAGCGAAGCGGGGGCTGCAAACCTGCTCTCCCTGCTCCTTTGTGCCTCCATCGGGGTCGTCTGCGGGCTCGAGCTCCAACTCCTCTCCCTCATCATCTACCCAGGAAAAGAGGAGGAAACTAGTGAACCAAGAGGCCTCTGGACCCACAGGCCCTCTCAGGGGTTTCCCAGGAGCCTGGAACCTGTGGCCTAGGTCAGCTTCTGATGCGCTTCTTCCCGGGTAGCTGTGATGTTAGGGCTCAGGAACCTGATAACAAGTTTTGTTGTTCTGGGATGGTCTCTGCGGTACACTGAACTTTCGGGGGCCTGTTTCTCACTATGTTAAAGGGTCTAATCACAGCATGAGAACCGTTTTGAAGGGGGTGTGGTGCAGAGGATGGGAATATCCGAGTATTTGATGACCCCAAGGGTTGGTAGTGGGAAGACAGACTCTCCTGGACCAATTCTTACCATTCAGGAAGATCTAGGTCCCAGGAGATATTTGAGTTGTGTGGGCAACAGATGGAGGCTGGGGATCTAGAGAAAGTAGGAGGGTCCCACAGGTTAAGTGGGGCACACGCGGTTAGGAAAATTTTTGATATAATATGGAAAGAATAATAAACCATTCATTCCAGTGGCTTCTGACCTGACCTCTTGGGTCTCTGATTCCTGGACATATCACAGAAGGCTGCTCATGATTTGCTTTTAGTATTCCAAAAGTTTAGAAATTATCCATTGTCAAGACTACAGGTTAGATTTCTTTGCTTTGGGCTTGGATTCTGTTTAAGTAACTGGAACAGAGATGGTCTCTTTCTAAGAATTATTATTTCTTAATAAAATAAGGAGCAGGCAAAGGATTGCTTAATAGCTTGGTAGGAAAAAACCACAGCATGATGATGGGAGATGAGAAAACTGAAGGGATCTAATTGGAAGAGAAGGTGGACTTCTCTTGTTTCAAACTCTTCAACTCTCAATGTCCCTTCTAGCTTTGAGATCTTTAGTATAAACCCCTCACACCCTCTGTCGCCTTGAGGAAGGGAAATTCTTGCATAAGGGAGCATTTGAAGTTCTCTCAAGTCCTGGAGGACTCCATGAAATGTTGGAGTTCCAGCTAGACAGTCACAGGTAAGTGGGAAGGTGCTATTTCAAGACCCTCGGGGCAGGTGGTGGTAAAGGGTTCTGTCCATCCCACCTGTGTCTTGGGTGAGCAACCTCACCTTCCACTCCTTCCTGTTGGACATGCAGGCCTCACCCCTCAGGGGCACAGAAATGTGTGTCAGGTATAACCTGTCAGCCAATCAAGTCTCAAGAGTTGAAGGGAATGAGGAAGAGAGGTTGGCCAGGGCCTGGTCCTGCTGGGCCGACACAGCTAAAGCCACTCTAGACTCCAGGAATGAAGAGGGAGCAGGAATTGAGCCGGCTCCAGGGTGCACTGCATTCCTGACTTCTCTCCAAATTAGAATTAAATTGTCGGTGCTTATGGAGATGGATGGCTCGGCAGCTGCCCTGGCTCAGGCCAGCAGACTCCTGTCAGCAACCGTATGCTTTGTGGGGTCTAGCTCAGAAAACATTTATCCTGCACACAGGAAAAAAAAAAGTTCTGGTGCCTTTTATGCTAAAAGCTTGATTTGGTTGAAAACACAAAATGAATAGCTAGTGAGAGAAAAGGTTTTTCTTTTTCCTTCTGAGACAGTGTATTTGCAACAAAGCAGAGACTCAATTTCTAAGAAGGTACAAAATTCACCGGGATTACTTTCATGAGAAGCAATTAAAATTGATTTCTCTCCTTCTGAAGCTCCTATTTCACTCCTGAGAGTAAATTAGCTGCCTGTCTAAAACATGGATTATACATCTGGAATTTATCTCTTGACCACATCCTCAACTAATCCCGAATGCCATTGGGGAGGTAGATGAAGGCATGCTTTGTCTTCCCAGGAAACCATAAGAACCTTGTACATTGCCAAGAAGAAACGTACTGGGAACTAGTTACTCTCCAGGTGGGATGGGTGGGATGGAACCATCCAGATGTCCTGCACATCCTCCTTGTTCCAAACGAACAAGGAAGCCTGTGTTGGCCAACAGGCTTGTCTTAACAGCTTGGATCTGATCCAAAGTTGGGAATGGTGCTACCCATGTCCTACTACAGGATCCCGAATGGCTACCACATAGCAGAGAGGGGGACCCTTGATTCTTGTACCTAGATTCAACATAATGGAGGTTACCAGAGTGAAAGCAGCTGCAGAAGAGACTGTTACATGTTAATGATAAAACAGCTTCCAGGTCCAACCAGGAGCTCATGGCCCCCAGATTGCCTTGCTCCTAGTTCTCATGGCAGTCCCACTGAAGTACTGAGACTGAAATCCTGCTTTGCCCTGGCGGTATGTGCAGCCTCTTGAAGAGACCTTTTGGAAGCTGAAGTTAAAAGCAGGTGGACAGGGGTCAGTTGTTGGTGGTCTGGACTGAAACTGGAGGTGATCACACAGGACACATGAAAAGAGGAGCTAGAAGGGCAGAGGGGCAGGAGGCCCCAAGATCATAGTGTAGCCACTTGACTGCAGAGGCTAGGAGGGGTCTAGGTAGGCTTTTCCCTGTCTCCATCCTTGACTTGGCATGACAAAGGTTTGTGAATTGGAATGTTGGTGGTAGAGGTCCTACAGGTGAGTTTTTTTCCACAGCTGTCTAGCAACTGTGAAGACCTTCTCAAGTTTCTCGCTGCTGGCTTCACCCAGCCTCAATTCAGAATAAGACAGCAAGAGGTCACAGCCCCCAACAAACTAAGATTGTAATCCTATGAGCCAGTTCTATTTTTGTGACAACTCTCCACTCCTTCTTTTCCAACTCTTGACTT